ATATATATATATATATATATATATATATATATATATATATATATATATATATATTGAACATAATTTTAATCCTTCATGAGCTTTCGATCCTTAGCTATGATTAATTAATGATGAACATGTTATTTTCGTTTATGATCGATTTCATCACGATTCTTCTGTTAAGCTTGGAGAGTAATTATGCATTCTTATTGCTCAGAGTAGAGTCCAATATCAAAACATTTTTCGACAAGTATCACATTCATTTTCGTCGTGGAATTTTACCCGAAATTACCTGAAATTGAGAAAAAAAAATAACATCTATGCCTGAGGAAGGTAAATGTTTTTACTGAAAGTACTTGCAATATGGACCGAACATCTAATCCATTTTATAATTAATAAAAACAATGATCGCGTCGTTCAACGAGCGGTTACTGAGTTAATGCCTTATTTAATTTGTTAGTGAATCTGTTAGCGATTTTGTCATTAATTACATTAACTTTATTGATTTATTCTTTGAATGACTATTTCTTTACAATATATATATATATATATATATATATATATATATATATATGAGAGAGAGAGAGAGAGAGTAGCAAATAAATCTAAACAGGCGTACTCTATTTTCAAGTTGAAATTGTTTAAGGCAGCACATACATTTTTTTTCTGGAACCCTGCATTTTTTGTTTTTTTGTAAAAACTATGGTGCAAGTATTCTTTCTTACCAAATTACTTTGAAGAGAAAGAAAAAAAAGAATGCATCCGTTGTATTGAAGGATTAACAGGCTGTATGCAAAAATTAAAGACAAAACTTAGTATGTTTGATCGAACTGTCAGGGTTTTGGGGCGAATTTTGCTGGAAAACTTTCAGAAAAATAGTAATAACTGAAATAAATTTGCTTAATTTTTGCTTGATAACTTTTGACGAAAAATTGGTTTTCGTTCTTTAAAAACTATTTTTCATTATTCTTTCAAAATCCTTCTTGTCATGAACAAGTCTTTGAAGAAAATTATCATTCTTTCTTCTCATCCACTCTTATTCATTCAATAAAATACAAATAATTTTGTCAAAAAAAAAAAAAATTAGATTGTTAATTTTTTAGTATAATTTTCTTTCTTTCAAACTGATTACTTTTTAGTCATTTTTCTCAAGTTTTCTTATTTTGATTGCAACTTTCACTCAACTTAATTTTTTTTTTCTTTCTTTCTTTCTCCTTTCCTTCTATTACTGATTTTATTTATCCCGATTTTTTTCACACATTACTCCTTTTCCAATTACGATTTTCCCGTCGACCGCTCGCTATATATTTGATTTCCCTCGGCCATGCCACCTCTCTTTTTCAATCACCTTCAATAACAATGACTTCCTTTTGTTATTTTCCAATCAATTTGTCAATTTTCTCCATTTCTTTTGAAAGATGCTGCGTTGTTAAAAAACAAAACAAAAGAAGCAAAAACTAAACAGAGGAGTAAAAGCCCGGTGACCGGAAGGAGGCGGCAAGATTCTTCCTCGGGTGTTTCAATATGGACGACATACTTTACAACTGAACAAGTCATTCAATTTGCAAACTTTGATCTTTTAACACCCAGCCTCGTCTTTTATTTGAGCGACATTTTAGATCGCTTGAAACAAAAAAAATACCAATAAATGGAAGACTTGATTTTTTTTTTTTTAACATAAAGGTAACAAAACATTTAATGAAAATTTACACTGCATGCATCTGGGTCCAGAATTCAATACTTTTCATTTTAGAATAATGTAGAAGCCATCAAAACGATTTTATTTGGTTTTGCTGGGCTACACCATTATTTCTATGAAGAATATTTGTAGGCCGTAAATTGGTATTAGCAAAATTATTCTAATTAATTCAGTTCGATAGGTTTAAGCATCATAGTAGTCGACTCATGTCCATGTTACTGGGCAACTGAATAACTAGATTTTTCTCATTCAATTATCCGCTATTCTGAGATGAGTTTGTAAATTATATCCCCTCCCCAGACGACATATAATTTCTAGGTGTGAGATTTTCACAATATACTGTTAAAATATCAACATTCCTCACTTCCTGTTAAGTATTCCTTCAGTTCGTTCACTGTGACATGCCAGACATTTTTCTTGACAGAACCCATCTTGCACATTTATAAATCTACAATTGTGCTCTGATCTGGATATTGCTACCATATCAGGTCTGGTGTTCCTGCCACAGAGAGTGCGATGAGTAAATTGTCGCCTTTTTATACATTTAATTTTGCGCATGCGCGTTGATTGTTTTTTTTTTAATTTATTTTGCCGACTGAACAGTATAGTAGGGTCAGTTGGGCACCGTCTGTGAGAAAAAGAGCAGCATGACGCAATTCCCTCCGCCAGAAATTTTGACGCGGCATGCTGTACTGATTGGCATTCGCTCATAAAGCTCCAATGCCAACATTTCAGAGTATTTGGGCATCAATTTGAGGACAGTGCAAAGGATTCGGAAGCAGTTAGATGAGTCTAATGGTGATTACGAAGGTGTTTGGTGGGATCACTAGTGATGACAACGTTATACCTCGATTCATCTTCCCACAGGGCTTCAGACTCATCACGAACGCCTACATCAAGTACCCTGAGGAGGTAGTGCTGCCCTGGGTCAAAGGGTGGAAGGCCCTATGTCTGGTAACAGACAATTTCTGCGACCACATCATCCCTTACATCTAGCCAACTACCTCCCCAGACTGCAATCCCCTTGATTATTATGCGTGGGATGCAGTTGAGCTAGAGACCAACAAAATTCCTTGTAACACCAAAGATGAACTGAAGACAAGAATTATGGCAGCATTCACCAACTTAAACAAGCAGACTGTCCAGAAGAGTTGCAGGAGATTCCGAAGTCGTGTAGAGGTCGTGGCTGATGCCAATGGCGTTTGTATTGAATAAATTTACTCTTTAATATTTCAAGATATTTTTGTGTAATTTTAGTAAATATATCTGTTAAAATGAGATGTCAGTGTTATTTTGGCGTCATTTAGACGATAATTTATCCATCGCACTGTAAATTAGATAAGATTTTTCGTTTGTACATGTGTGTTAAGGTGGAATATATTGTTATTGTCGAATTAAAGAAAACCAAATGCACGAGAAATAAATTATTACACCGCATTCGATGTCAAACACTGGGATTTCCTGAACAATGTCTAATGGATGTCAATTATCTCCTGTTAATTCCGCTCTCAAATACAATATGGGAACCAGTAATAAGGAGTGTCAGAGAAAAGCATTAACAACAACATAAATTGCAATATGAGCTCTGGTAAAAAAACATAAAATGATAACGGCAAAAATTGCAATATGAGCACTGGTAAAAAAACGGTTGCTGAAGAGATTAGGTTTATAATACTCAGAAATTCATACACAGATGAACTCAAGGACACATGGCACAGTGGATAGTTAGATCCAGAGTGTGAGTTCAATACCTGGTTAAGGCGGTGGAGAACTTGGAGTGGGGATTTAACTGACATCCATTAGACACGGCACGTGGAACTAGAACAGTCTACTCCAGTGAGCGAAATAATGTGTTAAGTTCGACATTCCAACCACCTGAAGAAGGCCGGAGCGTACAACGGCCGAACCGTTGTAATAAATATGGCAACAAAGATGAGGACAATAGTCCGAATAATGTAAATAGCACAAACGGGTTTGTAAAAATCGATTACACCCTGTCACTTCAGTGGGTCTAAAACTGACCATATGGTGAAAGAAAGGAAATTAAATCTGATGTTTCAATTAATTTGCATAAGGGTGTATTGACATTACTCCTATATGGCAGTAAATGCATGACAATTTCCTCACAGAAGAGGAGGATGCTGAGAATATCAAGAACAGAGTATGGGAATAACGACGATTCTATACATGGAATCGGTAAATAAAGGGAAAAAAAAACAAGTTCAAATTTCTAGGAAACATTTTCCGGCATCTTGCTTTGATCTTCAACGAATTAAATGAAATGTCCATCGTTAACTACTCTCTCCATCAAGTCTTCTTACGCTTTAATTAATTTTTTATTCCTTTTTCTGTATTCTTTCATATGCAGTAACTGCTTTTGTCTTAGTGGCTTTTTTGCTTTACTTGGGGTGAAATGATGAAAAAGGTACATAAGTGTCCTTTTTGTTTTCAATTTCCTAAAACATTTTTTTCTTGAAAATCTTTCTATTTTCTTCTCATTCTTTCTGATTGCAATTATAGCTTTTCAGTTCATTTCTATTTTTCTTAAAACTTCCTTGTTACTCACATATTCTATCCATGATAATCTCAGTATTGGTCGATAAAACGACATTTATGTCTATTTGCATTATTTACTTAATTCAGACTGTTACCCTGATCTTCATTGCCATATTCACAACGTTTCGGCCGTTGTACGCTCCAGCCTTCAATATCTGTCTATATGTCTGAGATGAAGCATTATGATTACTTGGATTATTTACATTATTCGGACAGTTATCCTAATCTTCATAGCCATTTTCACAACGTTTCGACCGCTGTACGCTCTGGTCGTTTTCATGTAATTGGGATTGACCAGAAACAACGTAAATGTCTGTCTATATCTCAACATTTATGTTGTTTCTTCTATTTCTTTCATTTTGGACGAGATTGTTTAGCATTGACTGCCATATTGAAAATTAGATATTACATCTCAGTTCATCATCATCAGTTCTGAGGTCAGCTTCCGAATCCATAATGTCATAATTCAGCCATGTTATGCGTGCATTTAAACTTAAATTGAAACATATATTCAGGGTGTTTAAATTTTATTTTCCGTAAGGATATATATATATATATATATTTATATATATATATATATATATATATATATATATATATGTAGATAGATAGATAGATAGATAGATAGAGATAGATGATAAAGAGAGAGAGAGAAAAGAGAGAGAGTATGCCTATTTTAAAAATACATACGCAATATATATTTTCTGTGATTTACATTGACGCCTTTATTAGAAATTGCCACAGATTCAAATTTTTGTTTAATGTGATGACAGTCATTTTTTTTTTTCGTTCTTTGGTGGTTAATTTTTCTGTTTTGTTATTCTTCTTCCAAATTTTGGTCAATCTTCCCGACAATTTCATCTTTCGCCAGTTTCATTTATTCTTTCTTTCTTTCCTTCTTTCTTTCTTTCTTTCTTTCTTTTATTTTCTCTTTCTTTCTATTTACCGTCTGCCTTTTTATTTTTCCTTGGTCTCTTTTTACGTAGCTCTCTTTCATGTTTTCTTTCTCTCTTTTTACCTTCCTCTCTTTTATTTTCTTTCTTTCTTTCTTTCTTTCTTTCTTTCTTTTTACCTTCCTCTCTTTCATTTACTCTTTCTTCCATTTTACTTTCCTCTCTTTTATTTTCTCTTTCTTTCTTTTTAATTTCCTCTCTTTTTTCTCTTCCTCTCTTTTTACCTTCCTCTCTCTTATTATCTTTCTTTCTTTTTCCTTTCTCTCTTTTATATGCCCTTTCTCTTTTTTTGCATGCCTTTTCTTTTTCGCTCTATTTTAATTCCTCCAATCTCTTTCATTTTTTTATTTTCTATTTTCTCTCTTGTCCTTTTTTTTTCATCTTTTCTTTCGATCTTTATTCCTTCTTTTCTTTTCTCTCGTTCGCCCTAATTTCGCCTTCATTCCTTCGATCTTTCTCGTTCGTTTCTCTTTCCTCTTTTGCCATTTATTTTTACATTCAGTCCTTCTATTCCCTCTTCTTCCTCTTCTTCTTCCTCTTCTAGAATTTCCTCTTTCAATCCTTTTTTCTTTCTATCTCCCTTTTCCCTCTTTTTTCAACATCATCTCTTTTACTCTCTCTCTCTCTCTCTCTTTCGATCGTTTTATCTTTCTTTCGTCTTTTAAGCTGTTCACCGAGTCTGTAAACGCGTATCTGGATACGAATTAGCCAATGGCTTTTACGTAGGCGTGACTCTGTTGTGATAGCAACGCATTGGCGTCTAAGCTGATTCAAACGTATAGAACATTGTGTTACCAAGGGTAACAAACAATTACAACCCTGACGACATTCTTTGGAATTTTCACACAGATCTTCGTTCATATAGTTCGCTATTTCACGGCAGGGTCAAACTGCCCATTTTAAGTCGAAAGTCGTTAAAGTACAGTACAATCCCTGACAAGCGGACTAAGAAGGCCTTCCGGATATGAGGAATTGGTTACAAAGTCCGGATATGAGGGGTTATATTTACATTAAAATAAAAGAACTGAAATCAGCTTTAACATTTATTTTCAATGTTTTATAGTAAATAAAATGGTGAGTGAAATATAACGGAATTGATTTTAAGGAAAAAGAAATAAATTATGTAATGTTAATGAAAATTCATTAAATTAAGTATGGCACGTATGCAAAACAAATAATGTAACGAGGATTTTTTTAATCGCTGTTGCATGATGATTCTTTCTCTTCTAATGTCATTCTCAACTTTTCCGTATTTCGTTTTGCTTTTGTTCTTGAAATTTTTTAAACGAAAGACACTTTTTAAATCTGCGTGCGTTATTGCAATCGTCATAGCTGAATGCTGGCTTTCTTTCCATAAAACTGACAACCTTTCCAACAGCTTTTTCAATTTCAATCCAGGTTTCGTCACAATCATGCATCTCGTCGCTATCTTGTTGCAGATGTATCTCGTTGTCATCCTTTCCTCTTATTTCCATCATCTTTTGCATCTACACAAGACATTAGGGTGAAATCAACATAAGCAATTATCCAAAGTAAATTTCCTGAAAAAAAAGAAATTTCAAATCAGGTACATATCACCCAAATAGTTCAAAAATACACATCAAAATCATGTCCGAATATGCGGGATCCCGGATATGAGACACTCCGGATATGAGGTTTTCCAGATATGAGGGATTCTAATGTATATACACTTTCTATCAGATTTATTCTACATAGCTGGTATTTGAGCTTGACGATGAAATAGCCACGTATTTTGTGGCTGTCGCTGTTCAAGCGAGGGATTTTGAATTTTTCCTTTAATTATTTCACCTTAAGCAAAGGATTACTGATCGAAAAAGAATCCCCGAGAAAAATATTTATAGGAGAGGACAACAAGTGGACAGGGATTAAAGCGACAGAAATATGAATATTGACATTATATTAGGTTGGTGCAAAAATAATGACGTAACAATGTCGTTTTTTGACGTATTTTTTTAAGGTAAAAAAACGACATTCTTACGTCATTATTTTTGCACCAACCTAATATATACATTTTTAAAGATCAAAATCGACTGGAAAATAAGAAACCGGAAGTGAGTTCCACAAACGAGAAAAGAAACTGTTAGCATAAATCTTACTGCCATCTCTATGTATAAAGAAGAGGATATCTGTGTGTCTGTCCCTCTGTCTGTCTGTATAATACCTTTTCACTCGAGGCTCAGGCAACTGATTTTAACCAAACTTGACACATACATTGTACAATGAAGAGATGGGTTCTTAGCTTAAAAATCGATTATTTAAAAAAAAAATCAACAATCGATAAAGCCGATCAAACACCGATAAATTCAACTTTTTGACTCGGATTTCGTTCAGACTCGCTATATAGGATACTTACATCATGACGGGTTCAACAATACCTCATTTTTATTGCTACGCCACTGTGAAAAACCGCAACAAACGAAAAATCGATTTCAACACATTTTAAACTAAAAACTCCCTCAATTTTCAAGCAATCTAATACAAACTTCACTCAATTGTAGACAACAATAAGTTGATTGTTTAACAGTCATTTAACTTGATAATTGAGCCGACACATATAGTGAAAAACCGCATAACTGGCGAAAATTTTTTACTGGTTTCTTATCTTGATCTTTTCAAAAAAATTTTCATCAATCTTAACAATTGCTTTCTAAATGTATCCTCTTTTACATCCCTGGTAGCACATTGACAAATTGAATTTCAAAAACTCTAAAATTCAAAAAATAGAAAGGGGCGTAAAACAAGTGTGCATCTTCTCACCGGATTCATTCAATCTTTACAGTGAAGCTTATCCCGAGAGAAATCCTTGCGTATAACAGCAAAATTGTCCATATCTTTTAACAGCAAAATTGTCCATTTGTTTGATTAAGTTTGAAACGTTGCACCTTAGAAATGATTAAAGATATCTTACTGGAATTCTACACTGAGAAATTAGAATCGATAATTACTCTCCAAGCTTAAAAGAAGAATCGTGATGAAATCGATCATAAACGAAAAGGACATGTTCATCATTAATTGATCATAGCTAAGGATGAGAAGCTCATGAAAAGTCAAATAAAGTTCATATATATATATATATATATATATATATATATATATATATATATATATATATATATATATATATTATTCTAGGATCATTTTCAATTTATTCAAGATGATCTTCGTCCTCTCTAATCATATAATTTTCTATCCTGTTGTAACAATTTACCTCACAAGTTTCACGTGCCATTTCATTTTCAAGTCTTATGGATTAAGTTTGATCTTTTTCTAATTGATCTTCTTGGCTTTAAGTTGAAATGCTCATCCCTCTTCCTGTTGTGACCTCCTGATCCAGTTTTCCTCTCTACTGATCCCTCTTTTTTAAACTTAACCGTTCTCTTGATGGTTCTTTAACAGACTAAGATGAAAGTCAGAGTATGAATTTTTGTACCACTATTCAAGGCTTGAATGATCTTTTTCCTCCCACCATTGCTCAGTTATGAAGACAGTAGGTCTGACACAAGAAATTTTAAACTGTTATCTTTGTAGTTGAATACCTCAAAGGGTTTTTCAGTGATTCTTACAAAAAAGGGTGTCAAGAGGGGTAAACGTCTTAACTGAAAACCTGGAAAAAAGAAACTCAATTTTTTTGTTTTTTTTAGATATTAAACATTTTGTGGGATGGATAATTATTCTGTACACGATTTGGACAATTTTGCAGTTACAGCCATAAGCTCCCTTTGGTGGAAGAAAGAGAATTTGTTGGCTGATGCCGCTGATTAATGCTAAGTTCTTCGCTATGAACTGAGCCCACGTATGGCCGGTAATGCATATATTGTATATAATGTGTTAAAAATTCCATCACTTCTCAAAGTGCACTAATAGCCTAGGGAGGACAGTCCCCGACTGATAAATCGCTCAGGTTTCGATTCCGGCTTGAAGCAATCGCATGTTTAGCGATACTGATGAATCGCGAAAAAACAGTCTCTCTGTTGATGACTGTATGCATTCACACACACACACACACACACACACACACACACACATATATATATATATATATATATATATATATAGCCGAATGTAATGAGAACGAAAATAATGTATAAATTCTACCGATAATTACCGAGAGCAATAATTATTTATTATAAACCATTGTTCATAGCCATTTTGGTACTCACCGGTCGAAGTTCAATTAAATGCACTGAAACTAAATTGCATCTTTGTAGTGAGTAAATAAATTGTTTTTGTCTATATGAAAAATATATATATATATATATATATATATATATATATATATATATATATATATATATATTTAAAATAGACAATAAAATTCCAAATCACCTCATATAGGGAATAAAATGAAAATATATGTCGTCTATCTTGTCAACGTCAATATGGACTGAGTTCATGTCAGAAATAGAAATTTAACTGAGAAAGCTATATATGAAAAAAATAAACAAAAGCTAAAAATTCTTGAAGCTATATACATAAAACAGTTGAAACCTAACCTGAACAAAATAAACTATGGAATCTCTACAAATATTCTTAAATGTCTATAATTGGTAACAGAAGCCATTGGTTTATACCAACCGCTTCCCATATTTAATACTTTTCGAATTCACTCTCGCGTGGTTATGTGTGACGCCATGAGCTGCGGGGCGATTTTCGCTTCCTGCGTCTTATATGCACGTGGTTATCGTTGCTTGGAAATCATCCATGTAAACAGAATCAGACACTCATCATTTTCTTGTCCGTGTTTTGCTTAATATATTGCACTGTAATTGTCATCTTTGATAATGGCTTATGTAAGCCGAAAGCTCAGATTGGATTAAAAAATATGTATCAATATTGTGATTTTCTTTCTTCGTTTAATGATAATGCTATTAAGCTTATCAGACATTATGAAAAGAATTTACAGAAAATAAATAGACAACACTTGTCTATATTATTTAATGAAACATATATATATATATATATATATATATATATATATAAATTCCCAAGAGGCTAGAATCCAGGTAGAACTCAATGTTCAGTACAGAGTAAGAATATAATATGAAAGTCTTAAACACTAATATTCCATGGTTATAATTTATTTCATTGGAATCGTAATCCAATTCATCAGACCTACAAATTCCAAAAGCTTTTTTGAATTTGTAGGTCTGATGAATTGACCTTATATATATATATATATATATATATATATATATATATATATTCCAAGTGGTATTCTAGTAATATAAAATATTAAAACTAATCCGCAAAAAGAGCTCATTGTATTTATTATTAGAGAACAAATTATTAATACGCCATAAAATGCCAAATCACATCATATGGAAATAAGCTTATTTCGGTAGACGGAAATATTAGTCGCCTCTCTTATCAACTCCGCTGTGGATTGAGCTTGTGTCAGAAATATTAATTTTACGCTAAAAACTAAAAATAAAAAAAAGAAGGTTGAAAACTAATAGAGAATTTATCTGTTTCAATGTTTCAGTCAGACGAAAGGCCTGGGTCAAGGGATGGTGGAAGGTATATATTATGCGAATATTTTCGCTTTACAAACATTTCGTATCACGAACGGTCTTCACGAAGGAATTACATTCGTGAACCGAGTTTTAACCTGTATTTGCATTTCTTCTAAAATCTGAATTAATATCTTATAAATCACGACAAGACTAATTAAATTGGTTGTAGGTAGAAAGAAAATGATCCGAGAGACATTATTCGTATTTATTTTGATTTTTTTCTTCCTTTTTAATGTACGAAGTCTTTGTTGTCAATGAGAAAGATCACGTGATACGTATAAAGGAAATAAGAATGTGGTTCCCGGAAGCGTTCTCTCGCTGGTAGGCTTTTATTGTTTTATTGCTTTCTCTGTTGCTTAGCAACAATACCTGGCATCAGTGCGCTCATTGTGCCTGACTGATTATCAGCAAAGTTAAGCGACGCCATATTGGATGGCTAAATAAGACGCGTAACCACCAATTTGTTCATTGCCAAAGACGACATCTTCCACCAAAATGAATTTCGCCTTGTAATTTTTAGGAACATTCGCTCGCACATACACACATACACGTAATTCTTATAGTCATATTTATACATGTACACGTATGTGCATACACATGTATACACTATTCTCTACGTATCACTTTTCTGTATCTATCTTAAACTTGTAGGTCGTGTTTGTTCAAATTAGCGGATAGTGAAAATGGAGTTACTCTTTAGGGTGTAGGCAGGGAGGAGTGTTGCATCGAGGCGTTGTTCTATCTACACAACACTGCCTTACTGTCAACCAAACGGAACAGATTCAAAGGAATGCATGCCATTGCACATGAAGCCGGCTTGGATACTGAGACGAGGTCAGTATTGGGAGTCCAGTCTTCTATAGCCTTTTCTATATTTGCAGTTTTCATTCTACTAGATTGGTTGCCACCAAAAGCACGAGAGACCATTCGCCACTGTTATTTAACTCATAGCTAGAAGAATATGGGTGAATATTGTTTTTGTTTTTTCTTTTTTTTTGCCCGGAGGGCTTTGGTTCGCGGTGTAAATCAATTCGGTCAGAGGTATAACTCTGCGAAACGATTCCCCACTACCAGCTCCAATAGCCGTTACGCCACCGTCAAATCTTTCCCATTTATTCTCCATATATAAAAAGAGCTGCTGAAAAGTTTTTGTTTTGACCCATTTTCGAAAATCCGACCAAATGGTTGTGGCACCTTGCATTATTAGAAATATTCATAGAAATATGATTTAATTTTTTCTTACTCGGTTACTAAACAGGTTGTTAATTTTTTTTTTTTTTTTTTAAACGGAAAATAACTGAGTTGAAAATAATTCACTAAGAGTGTACTAGACGATCCTAAGGAAAGAAGAAGGAAAGAAAGGAAAAAGGAAGGAAGGGAAGAAAAAGAAAGAAAGAGAAATGTATGACGCATGACCCAATTGAGGGTGGAGATAGGAGTCAGAAAGAGATTTAGGTCAGCGTCTTGGCCGATTTTCGAAAGTCATTTTGGTAAGAATGTCGGTCAGAGCACCTAGCCTACTTTTGCATGGAAAGACACCTTATCAATTTGGATAAAGAGAAATTTTGGGAACAATGAAACAATTTTTAATCAGAGAAAAAGTGTCTTTGGGTTGAGGGGAGTGACCGGTGGAACGATATACAGACCTGTTAAGAATTGGACACCCACGTTAATAAAGTAGAGACATTTCAATGTAGATAATTAAGATTTTCGACTATCAGGTAAAACAAAGAGGTAAAAATAGGGACAATTGCTTTTGGCTCACAGAGGGCGCCAAGAAGGCGGAAAAGATCCTTTCTAAAGTCAAGACTAATTAGCAGCGGGCTGTTTGACAAAGTCCAGGTGAGAGAAAGCCAAAGATTGTCATTTTGCGTACGTGCAAAAAGGGGCAAAATTGGATTTTGTTTTTTTTAAACAAGAACGATGTAACCACGCCCGCAAACAGAGGGGAGAGGATGTTCGATCAATAACAATTGGTCGAATACGATCACGTGACCTGCGGAAGAAAAGGAAAGAAATGTTTGATCAATAACAATTGGTCGAATACGATCACGTGACCTGCGGAAGAAAAGGGAAAGAAATGCTCGATCAGGAACGATTGGTTGAAAAGCGGTCACCTGACATACGAGAGACTAAGAGAGATGGATGTGCGCCGCCCCACCAAAGGTACTGCGAGGAAGTAGGGGCGAAAACAATAGCGATAATGGAGAAGACAGAATTAATGCAGTTTTTGGAATTATCGAGAAAACCCTGACACCGACAGACCCACCCCAGTTTGTTGCGGCGTCAATAAAAAGCAGGGCCCCAATCGACAAAAATCAGTTCATCCCCGGACGGCAGCGAGAAAAGAACCCTCAGACAAGAAGAACTTCCAGCCCAAGTAGACGAAGAAGAAGATTGCCTGAAAGCCTGAGAAGAATTGGAGCTGCAGACAAGCCGAAAGTCGATGAGAAGTTAAAGTTCAGCTCCGGACGGCAGTGAGAAGAGACCACCTCAGACGACAGAGAGTTGCGGCTAAGTTGAAACAAGAAATCTTCCACCAAGTTGAAACAGGAAAACTACCAGCCCAAGCAGACGAAGAAGAAGAAATACAACTCAAGTCGGAGAGAAGAATCAACTGCGAATGATCGATAGAAATTAGCCCCAGTGTCGAACTGAACCACACTCCGACATACATACATGATTCTAGAAAGTAGGTAATTCGACATTTTTCTATTGTGTGATAGAAGCTTGGTGCCATAGTCCACAGAGCGGGTCGGGAAATGAGAACAATTTTTGTTTTTATGTAACGGACTTTAAGATATAAAAAGGTTGTTACCCTTTTTATCAGCAATTTTGTTTGGTGTCGTGAGTTTTTATTTTATTTGTGTTTTGCCACCCCGTCGGACTCAACTTGTATCGGCCCCGATCCCTGCTGGTCCCGTCTGTCTAAGATCTAAACACAGCGTGGGTAGACAGACCGGAGATCGGTATAGTTGCTTTAGTGACCAGGTATTGGAAGCGAGTCGGGAAAGGCGAGGCTGGTGATCATCTGACCAAAGGGTTGGAGCGGCACGCTTGGACCCAGGAGGAGCGACCAGGAGGAGCGACGTCACCGTTGGCGCCGTAACCAAAGGATCCGACACTGGGCCAGGTGTGTAACCGTCACATGGTTAAACAACAGTATTTTTGGTAGGACTATCTAGCTATCTATCTAACTATCTCAGTCTGTTCATATCTATCTATCTATCTATCTATCTATCTATCTATCTATCTATCTATCTCAGTCTGTTCATATCTATCTATCTCAGGCTGTTTATATATATGTATGTATGTATGTATGTATGTATGTATGTATGTATCTATCTATCTATCTATCTATCTATCTATCTATCTAAAAACGAATACCTTGTAAAATACCACCATGAAAAATTACGAATATATACAACGCAGATTATGTAATATACTTTAGACAAAGTCAATTCTTGAGACAAAGTCAATACTTCAAACTAAAAAAAAATGAAAATAACCAACCTCGGAGACAAAATAAACAAAATATTAAAATGAATAAATTAACAAATTAAGTAAATTTAACAAACTGCCAATTCACACAAGAACACAAGTCATTTTAAAAATAATAATCAACATCAAATAATTTCGTAGCAAAGAATAAATAATGAATAAAAACAGTTAAGAAGCAACACCATGAAATAACTTCAAATAACGTCAGTTAATTCTATTGGGGAATAATTTGAAACATAGCCGTTACCACCCACCCAATAACCTTTAAGTAAATACGATAGATTTTATTTTACTAAGCATACTACACTGGCCAGCATATATAAAACACGACACACAAGGCGTGAAGATTGGTTTCAGACAAGAAACAAACTTTCCCCGTTTCGTAATGACCTCAGTGTCGACACACGTGAAAGCACACGCACCCCCCACACACACAAAAAAAAAAAGAAAAGAAAAAAAGAGACAAGATAAAAAAAAAAACGTTTCATCCTCTAAAGGATTTATCAAAGCATTGCATTGATAAAGTCCCTCAGAGGACAAAAAAAGTTTTTCATATATATATATATTTTTTTCATATATATATATATATATATATATATATATATATATATATATATATATATAGGCTGCTGAAATATTCTCGAGACAACCCATTTCCTAAAATTGAACCAAATGGTAATGGTTTTCTTAGCCAATATCTTTTCAACATACTCCGCCTTGTGGTGTGGCCTGGTGTATGGTTCGCGCGCACGCTCGTGTGTGTTTGTGAAGTTGTAGTCATTCTTAAACTTAATTTTTAAAGTATCTTAACCTCATCAGTTCTCGTCTGATCCCTACAGTTAAGTAACGTCAAGGTTGTTCATTAACTAGGTGGGTAACCGCTTGTAAATGCCACGTATTGTAAGCTTGGGCATACGCTGTGCAGGTTTGGGGCACCTCGAGGCTAGAACAATTACGACTGAGTAGTGAGTTCGATCCTCACTGGGTACACCGTAATTTCGGCCTTGTGCCACATCTAAGCTACACTTGGAAAAATCACTATATGGGCACCTCGACGTGGTGTAATGGTTAGAGAGATTTACTTTCTAGATCAGTTACGACTGAGTAGTGAGTTTGATCCTCACTAGGTACCCCATACTTTTGGCCTTGTGCCACATCTAAGCTGCGCTTAGAAAATCACTATACGCTGTGCGGGTTGTGTAATATGGTGACGTGTCGGAATGTGAAATCGGATACCCGAGTTCAAGTCGGGTTTGTTACATTTACTTACGAGTAAAATACCGATGGGTAATCATTAAATAAAAAGAAGGCTTAATCCCTGAAGCGTGTCCCATCTGTACCCTACCAACACGCATTGGGCCAAAATGGTAAGGCTATGACCCATTCCTGGTCAGGAATCTGGAGAATAGACTTACCTTCAAAAAAAGCTCTTTACAGATTGAGATGGAGATAAACCTATAATAAACGACAAATGGTTTATCGAAACTGCAAAAACGGCAACGTCATTTTCAGATTCAGTTCTCTCTGCATTGAACATTATGAACTGGCGCTACATATTCACAAAGAAAGAATACCAGAAACCCTATCACTTATGGACTACCAACAGCAGCAACAACTAAAATGGATATCAAACTGTTATACCTGATGTACCTATTCTATTATTAATAGACTCTCCCACACATAATAAGTAGTAGTAGTAGTAGTGGTCGCCAGTTGGGCTCAATGGTGTTAAGAGAGTCAGTCGTTGCCGGACAATTAAGATGCTGCATCATTAACTCTTATTTCAAGTTCCTAACGTTTTGTCCGTCGAACCTAATTTAGGACAACTTATTGAAATACAAGCCTCCACTGTGAAAACTACAACACAAACGCAACTCAAAGAGAAAATAATGGCATAATAACGATGTTTGACATTCAACACTACTTAAAATAAAAGGTTAGGAAGGAAACCCCCATCAATAATGGAAAGAGTGATAACAGCTACTGGGCTTGAGAAGAGAAAATAATGACATAAGATGTTGGCATTCCACACTACTTCAAACAAAAGGTTAGGAAGGAAACACCCATCAATACTGGAAAGACTGAAAATAAAAAAAAACAGACGAAAAGCTCATATTTAAAAAAGAAAAAAAAATATAAGTGAATAGAAAAGTTTCATTGAAAAACATTAAAATGCAAGTTCAGATCTCATTGTTGCTTTCTCATCCTCTGTTAAAACACTTCCTAGATATTCGAATATCTGTACGTGATTGATGTTTATAGTACTTTAAAAAGTAAAGAGAGGTTGGACAATTGAGACGTAAAACTCACTGTCACTAGGCAGTGTTGATTACCATGTCGACACTGTCTACATCTATAAGCACTCTATCTCCGATACTCGGATCTCTTCCCCGATAAGTATAGCTAATTATAGATATAGCTGATATAATGGAATATGCATACACCTGTGTTCCCCCTCACTGGAATATGATTGGCTGGTGTCCGTCATAAATACGGACGGACGTGTCAAGAGCCTTAGTCTGAGAGCTAAGTCTATAACGACGCCCATTGGACCACGATATTGATCTACACTTCTACCTACGACGCGTACCAGTCGATTACTGCTACCATATTCTACTTGGTTATAGTAGCCAAAACCACTTAGCTACTTCGTTCAAATATATCCCTTTCCGGGACATATTAATAGCTAATTTATACTATATGCAGGGAGTATCAAAAATAATTTTACAAACTTTGGGGACTGGTTTCGTCACACGGTAAAATATCCATTTAAACATAGGTCCAAAAGGCCATCGTTGTACCACAACAACACCAACTCTTAACAGATTTTTAAATTGACGCATGCAGGCGCCCGTCGGATCCTTGACTGGCAGACCCTTTCAAATACTCCCACACAGTTTTAGAATGGTTTCACAGTCCGCCATGACACGTTGATGAAGCGTCTCTGCATTATTAATGTCTGCTGTATAAACCAATTATTTTAGGTCGCCCCACAGATAAAAAAAAATCCAAAAGACTGATGTCGGGGTAACGCGTAGACCTCGGAACCAGTACTCCCCTACCTATCCATCTTTCATGGTTGATGTCAGTCAGTTCATCGCAAACAATGTGACTAAAATATGCTGGGACCCCATTATGCGTGAGCAACATGCATTTTCGTATTAGCAGGGGTACATCCTCTAACAGGTCTGGAAGTGTGTTCGAAATATCGTTTCTGTAGACAGCACCTGTGAGAGTTGATGGGAAAACATATGGACCTACCAGACAGTCACCTACAATACCAGCTCACACATTAATCGCAAACTGATGCTCGTGTCTAGCCTGTAATGTACCATGAGGATTTCGCACCCAAATGTTGGTTATTCCATTTCTTCCAAATGTTGTTTCATCCGTAAACAAGTTTGAATAGACAAACAATGGATTGGCAGTTTGTGCAATTAACAACCGGCAAAAGTTCTTCCGGGGCGACTGCTCTGAGGATGAAAAGACCCTGCATACGTTTTAAATGATACAGGAGCTGCTGTTGAAGTACCCTACATCAGGTACTATGATATGTACGACATGCTAGGACAACTTGGCGTGTGCAGATAACTGGATCAACTCCGACAGCCTATAGAATGTATTCTTCGTGGTCAGGCGTACGAACGGATTACGATCTCCCTCGATCCATAGATTGTCATGCCACAGACCCTATCTCAGCAAAGCGCCGATAAACAGTAGTCAAGATTGGATGACATGGTTGCCTTCGGTCTGGAAACGCAATCTGATATAGACGTGCAACCATGCATCAATTACCATTCACGTAGCCGTTTGTAAAAATCATTTCTGCCTGCTCACGGTATGAATATCCTACCATTGTTAAACGGGACTCTTCTCAGTTAACGTACTGCTACACACGTTAAACGTTGAAGATAGACTAACCAGAAATGTACACGATTGACAAATGTAACCTCGTCTACATGGCACCACGGCGCCATCTACGGTAAACTTTCTTTAAAGTTAAAAGTACTCACGGTATGAGTATAATAATAGGTCGAGACTATATATCTAATGTGTTTGGAACCTAAATCTTATTTACAAGGTTGGAATTACCTATATATACGTCATATATATATATATATGTAATCTCATTAATTGAATTTATATTTAGTGGATATTTGTGCTTGAGCCGATATCCCAATTTTTTATTTTTTTAAACTATGTCAGTTTGCATCTATCGGCTTGTGCATTCAACCGTTTTATTAAAACAAAATACGCCTTACTGGCAGGATTCGAAACTGCGTCCGTCTTGTATGGGAATACCACTTCACGTGCTTTAAGGTCATTCAAATACAGAAAACTTTCTTTTTTAAAAGTGTAAGTTTACGGTTACCGGCCTGTGCAATCGAGGATCTTTCTAAAGAAAATATGCCCTTCGTTACGTTCCGAACCTGCTTATGGGGGGTATTATCGGAAAAGTTCAGCAGTGGGATCTTCTGGTAGATTTCTTGACTGATTCCAATCATTTGAAACAAAGGATAGACTGTTTGACGATGGTTCTCATGGATGAGCTGACGAACGTTTGATCATTCTGCACGCTCATAGTCTTAAACACACACTAGACATTCCTTGAAACGCTTGTTCCATTAATCGCCATTGTAGAATTAAAACTTGGCGTGCTCCATGCAAAATTTGATCCCGGCAAGTTGCTAGAATATGTCAACTGTCGTAAAGATCACAGAGTCGTTACAATGCAACGTTTCTAAAGTCTTCCATAATAATAAATGTATAGAAAAGGCTAAAACACTAATATTTCATGATTATAATTTATTACATTGGAATCGTAATCACGATCCAATTAATCAGACCTACAAATTCCAAAAGAAATTCTTTTTGA